CACCCTACATTATTAATAATTTTTACTAAATCTAGAATGTTTTGATGCTTTCGCAAAAATGCAAGATTTTAGCAAAGTACATATGGGTGGAAAACTTCATTTTTGTGTTGAATGATGGGGATTACATAGAATATGAGCCAATAATATATATGATATATAATGTGATCACTAATATTAAAAGTGATTGTTTGTCAGTGATTGTAAAATTATTTATGAATTGCTTATGAATTACTTATCAGTTACTTATCAGTTTTTATACGCTGTTCATGAGTAAAGTAACCAAAAACAACCCACATATGGGCGGAATTTGTGATGTTAGAGATTTGAATTTTAATAATCACAACATTACATTAAAATTTTCGTCCTTATGAATTTACTGACATTTGTAATTGCATTTATATGTATGGCCATATTTTGTTATTGCTTTTAATAATAATTTGATTATGAGTTTTTAAATAATTAATTAGATATGCTGCAATAGAAAAGACACGAGAAAAACAATAGCATGAAGGATCAATTGTGCCAGATATAGAAGAACGTGTTACACACACTCTGTGAAGGTACTACGTGTGAAGTCCTGATATATATTCACACTCTTGCTTTGCCATATTATTTGTCCAATAAGAGGTCCGGTATGTTTTCATTTGACCTTTGTAATTTAAAAATATCATCATTTTCTAAGTCTTAAGAATTTTGTATTTAATTATTCGAAGAAATTGAATTTTCTTATTATTAGGCTTATTAAAATTGCAATTCTTGAATGTGTGCAAGGTTGTGGCGCATTAATCAGTCCAAGTAGTTTGCGCCAATTAAAAAATTCTAATAACAATAAAATTATAAGCTTTAATAAAACGAAACCACCATTTTTTAACATTATTCTGCTTGAATCAAATGTTGCATTTTTTCGTCTCCCTTTATTTTTTTTTTTCATAATTTTAGGTTTCTAATATTATTGTTTTAAATTCAAAAAATATTCGTATTTTTCTACATTTATAACGTCTATAATTTATAATTTTCAAAATTTTTTACTGACCAGAATTATGACAACTCGTCAAAGATCTAATAATACAGTATAAAAAAATATTGACCTTAAAAGTATGTTAATAAATTTCTAATAAACTCGTACTGTATAGTTTATAATAAAAAATTCTTTAAATAAAAAAAAAAACTTTTCTTATAATCTACGCTGAAACATAACTTTAAAAAAGAATAATAGTAGTGTTCTATTCTTAAAGGGGTTTACTTTTAAACCTAAATTTCATAAACTTTGCTATTAATCTTACGTACTTCCGAAATTAATGTAATGTACTCTTGCTTATATATTTTAGGTACGGTCAACCTCTTTATAATGAGCCTTTTTATAATGAACGAACTAAAATTTTAAAATTTATAATAATTCTATATAGAGAGAATCGACTGATTCCATGTTTCTGTTATATATATCTTCAATTCACATCAAAAAAAAAATAGAAAACTTTCAAAGTACAGGACGGTTGGAAAATTACATGGCGGAAGTTTTCAATCAAAAATAAATTGTAAGAACGTACTGTACATGCTGAAATAAAAGAGATAATTGTGGCTAATTAATGAATTAAAATTCCTATTGTGACTTAAATTGATTTAAAAATACGATAAAAACTGATTTTACGAATCTATACAACTTATAATTTAATGATATACACTAGCAGTTAATAAAACGGGTAATAAAATATTTGATATATAAATATTCCGTTAAGTTCATAGAAAAATTTTGACATGATTGAAAATTTTTTGGCAGAAAAATTAAGAATAATAATATACAAGCAATAAATTAACTTTATAAACATTTTGGATACTTTTTTTTTAGCAACATAATTTATTCAAAATTTGAGAAAGCATCTTAATACCTTAAACAAATATTAACAGTTGTCACTGTTATTAGTAATATTGCAAAATAAAAGATAAAAAATCAAATAGAATGAATCAGAGATAATTGAAGTGAAGAAAATTAAAAAATAAAATGGCTACCATGACTAAAAAAAAAGAAATAGGGCAAATAAAAAGCATGACAAACTAAAAAGTATAAATTCAGCTATTCTTCCTAAAATATATTGTAACGGATAAGGCTGATAATCAGTTTGTATAAACAAGCTAAAAGAAAGAGAAACATATTGAGTCTCAAAATCTATGAATAATTTTGTTCGATAAGTTTTTAAATAATCCGTTCCAAGAATATTTATACCTGTGAAATGAGAGTTGACGGGAGGTAAAAGTACCATAACAGCTCTTTTATTTATTAGTATCGAATAGGAGATGATATATTCCCGATTGTTGCTTTGAATGTTTCATAAGCTTCTTCACAGATGTATGTGCTTGGAGAGCCGGTATCAACAAAAAAATGAACATTTTTTGCTTCTTTCTTGACTATTACTGGTAGGGATACAAAAACTCTGTTATGAATTCCGTATATAATTCCGTTCATTTCTTTAAGTTCTTCATCCGGAGAATATGATAAATATTTTGTTTTTAGAAATCCCGAAATTTCTTCATGCAAGACTTTAGAATTAACATCTGTTTATAAGACATCGTACATGTTTAGAATAGTGGTGGTGTGAGCGCAATGTCGTAATTAGTCGTGATTTTTTACAAAAAAAAATCAATTATATCGTGTTCCAATGGTCCAAATTTGATGATTTTGGTGCTACTCGAACCGTCTCGATGAGACGAATCGAATGATACCAAAATCATCCAATTCAAATCACTGGATCGCAAGGTATTCACAAATAATCATTCAATGAATTACGGCAAACGTGCCGTAATTCTGCCGTAATTCGTTAAATAGTCTTTCGAGAATATATTGCGTTCCAGTGGTTCGAATTGAATGATTTTGGTACCATTCGATTCGTCACGATGTGACGAATCGAATGATATCAAATTCATCCAATTTTAATTATTGAATCACGATATAATTGAGTTCTTGTAAAAAAAAATCACGACCAATTATGGCATTGCGCTCACACCATTAGTTTGGAAGATAATTATCATCAATTAAATCGAAAAAATCCATCTCCGCATCATTAGTCATCTTGGTTCTATTTATCTCCAGTGATTACTGATTCATCCGTTCTATCGATATTGAAAAAAAGAAAATTTGTGCAGGAATAATTATATAATCATTGCCAATCACTTTTTATATTAAAACCGGATTTATGTAACTTTTTACGTATTAGTATATAGTCATAAGCTAAATCATAAGAATGTTACATGACGTCTTCTGACGATCACATCAGGAGGTTAAAAAATAAGATAGCTGCGCGACGCAGTCGCGCTAGAAACCATTAACCATAGCTGCCGCACAAAAAATGCGCGGCATATCCGTGATTTTTGATTGGCTAACAGCCGGAATCTTCAAAATTTTGGCCTGCATTACACAATTGTTTACTAATTTCCGGCCGGAATCAACTTTTTAATTTTTTCATTACGTACAAAAATATAGATTTTTAAAAAATAACCCCGCATTATGGTAAAATTGGCCCAGGAACAATTTCCACTTAATAGGCGGCTGCGATTTCATTAGTAAAATTATGAGTAATTCCGGCCTAATTTTTTGATCGTCGCTCTTAGC